AAATATATTAATAAACCTTGTTTAATTTTAATTATACTGTCCATGGAATGTCCTATATTCCCGAAATACTGTCAGCAATTTCTGGAAATATCGAAACCTTTTTCCACTAACTTATAATCTGAGTTGCCCATATCTGACTTATATGATTCGAGTAGTGAAATATTTTAAAATATTATATTACACTAACATGTTCACTTTAAAATATATTTTAATTTTGACGGCTCGTTGTGGGAAATATGGGTCAATGGGGGATAATATGGAAATAAGTAGTACAGTATATAAATGGTTATATTGGCTAAAATCAATTGGTCGACTTCTAATTTATCTATAAAATTATTAATTATTTTTAAGATTCTAATGAAGTTATATTAAGTGATAATATAATGAGTCAATTGTAACAAAAATTATTGTATTGACTTGTGAATATAAATACGGTAATATAAATTTTATAGAACCAGAGTAAGGTTACCTTTATTTTAAAATCCAGTAATATTTTACTCATTTACCATAAACCTATTGAATATTGTATGAATAATTGACTTTAGAGTAAAATTATTATTTAGATATAAAAATAGCTAACGTTACGTTACTCTGATTCTATAAAATTCATATGAAACTCAAATACGTTTTAAGCAAAAAACACAAATCTTAATCGTAGTTGATATGACTTAAATTCAATTTTATTATATTAATGCTGAATAATTGTTCGACTACATAATAATATCAAATAAAATACTAACTAGTAAATATTATTTAGTTTGAAAGCATTAATTTACATAGATAACTAAAGTAATACTGTATACAATATATGCAAAGAATCATTAGTTATTGTAAACCTCTTGCACTTCACAACACTATACTCTATATTCTTATCTTAAAAACAAAAATATTGATTACAGCTTAACGTATTAAATATACTGACAGTAGGTATGGGAGGGAAAACTAAATTAAGAATATTCATATTTTAAATCTAGTGTGACCAGATCGAAAACTAAAAGCACTTGAACCCTAACACAAAAATATTTGAAAATACTTATTTTTATTTAAGTTTTAATGACATTTATTTTATTTAGGTTTATTGGTGAATTCATCAACATTTTAAAATTCATCCTCAAATCCTTCTTTTATAAAAATTTATTATGAAATGATAGAATTATATTAAGAACTTAATTGCTAATTTTGATAATTAAGAATTAAGTCATTGCTATATATATTGTATTTAAAACATTCATTTCATCATTCATTCAATATTTAATAGGAAATTAACGAAAATTATTAAATATTAAGTAGTATTAATCAAATTAATTATCAGTGTTTTAAATACAAAAGTTTGTGCTTTTCCGATCAGAAGTTCATAACAAATAATATAATCATACTTTTATCGCAAAGACACACAAAGGTATAACTTATTTTATTTTAAAATGTAACTAAAGTTTGTGAAATGCCTTGATTTTGTATTAAAATTGAAGTAACCATTTATTTATATCCATTATATTCAATTATTTTGTCTTTATTGAAAGCATTTTACCAACATATTTAATATGTGCTATTAATAAATTAAGACTAACTCGCACTCATAGCATACTGCAAAGTCGGGTTCCCTTTTCCCTTAAACTTCCCTCTCCCTTCCCAATCCCTTAAGGGAACGGGAAGGGAAAGGGAATCAGAAATCACATACGGGAAGGGATTCCCTTATACCAAATTCCCTTAAATGTCACATAAATACTGTATTAAATTGTTTAATATGCAATGAGATTGAATCATTTAATAGTGAATAAAAGCTATAAAACTATTATAAAAATAATCATTTTATTAACGTTAGGAGTGAAAGCATTGAATTATTTTTAATTGTGGTAAAAATGAGTTTAAATAATACCAATAGTATTAATTGCAATAAAACTCAATAAAAACTTCATTTCATATGTATTAATGTGAGATTAAATGCTCATTTCAATTGTAATTTTATACCCAAATTTTAAGGGAATTTAAGGGAAGGGATTCCCGACACGTTAGCCGGGGAGGGAATCCCTTTAAGCAAAAATTAATGGAAAGGGAATGAAAATCAGGGGTAAGTTTGACTTGTACTGTATAGTGAGTGTAAGGGGAAACTGTTGGGTTTGAAAATTTACTAGTAAGCAGTGCTTTTCAAAAATGTTTAACATTTGAGTATAACTGTAACATGCTATCAGTAAATCACAATCTATTCAGTCATTTAATGTCAATACCGTAATCACTATTAAAGTAATACAATATTCCTGTTACCGGTATGTACTGTATAGTGAATATTATACTATTCAATAGATGGCAGTGAGTGGACGAGTCATCCCTAATGTCAATGAGTGGTATCATAGACTAAATGAGTGGTAAATAAGTGTACGTCAGGTGTAGTGAAGTGAACACAGGAATAGCAATAGGAATACAGTCTATGTTTGAGTGCTATGTTTGCCATCGCTGTTGACCACAAGATTGTCTCATCACAGGTCTGTCCACCAACTCCTCACCCATTCATCCATTCATCCATTCATCCATTCATTGCCATATGATATGATGCCATCGTATGCTATGAATTGATATCTGGTTGGCGGCCATCGCTGTCCATATTGTGTGCATAGTTGAGGCAAACTGTGATCGTTGTGGTGGTCGTGGTGTCTGTCCGTCGATATGTTGAATGTCTCGCAAATGCATGCAATGACCACAAGTGAGGACATGAAGTACCCGAACATAACGATCCTCACCCGTCCTCTCAAGCAGTCGCCTCCATCCACGCCATCCACTCCCACACCACTTACCACTACATCCATCACATCACAGGACTCGCAGACGCAGAGCTCAGCTGTGGTGTCGTCGCCTCTGACCACTGGACCCACACATTCATCGACCGCATCGGATGCCATCACATCAGTGGTGACCAGATGTGGCTCATTGACGGCGCCGACACCACAACAACACTGCAATGGATCACAATCTGTGAGGTCAACGGTTTTGGCAAACAATGACAACACAAGCAGTTGTGTGGACACAACCACTGCCTCGACTGCACCGATGGCTCCGATGGCGGGCACTGTTGGCACCGACTGTGCGCCCGAAGAGAAGTCGCCGATGTGTCTGATTAATGAGATCTGCAGACATAACGGCATTAAACAGGAATACCTTTTGGTGGACGAGTCGGGTCCACCCCATGACAAGACATTCACGGGTCAGTCATTCAATCATTTAATGCTTTCATATAATTGCTGTCTAACTGTTAGACTGTCACTAGACTACAGTGACTGCAGTATAACAGTAACAGTAATACCCTAACCTAACCATTGTATGCAATGCAGTGTTGATAACAATTGATTGATTGTCACTACAGTTGCCCTCAAATTAGGAGACACTGAGGAATACCGAGGAAGCGGTGCGTCGATAAAGAAGGCGCAGAGAAGTGCCGCCACTTTGGGTCTGCAGAGGACTCAACTGAAACAACCGACGCCTCGCCAACACAGGACTGATAGCAAGAATGTATGGCCCCTCACACCTACTGTTGAGCTCAATGTGTTGGCCATGAAATTGGGTCAAAACGCTGTGTATCACGTGTACGACCCGCCCCGACCACAAGCGCCCACCTACTCGTTCGGGAGCATCGGTGCGGCACCCATGACAGCGACCAATGCGTATGACTTCCGGGGAATGCATTACCAGCGCTATCGTGTGCCACGAGGCCTATACTCTGCCACTCTGACTATAGGTGCCAAACAGTTTACAGGCAAAGGACGTACAGCACAAGCGGCCAGACATGCGGCTGCAGAGGAGGCGCTCAAAGAGTTGCGCCAAACGCCGCTTCCTTCAAACGAGTTGACAGTTAGCTCTTTGGGCACTACCAGTGCAACGGGTGGTACGGGTGCTGACAACTCGGGCGCCAAATGTAGCAATAAGTCTCCCATTAGTGTGGTTCACGAAATGGCATTACATCGCAATCTGTGCGTTCGCTTCGATGTGGTGGCAGAGAGCGGGCCCTCACATATGCCTCTCTTTGTCACCCAATGCACGGTCGGACACCTCGTGACCAAAGGTGACGGCAATTGTAAGCGAATGTCGAAGAATTGTTCGGCCCTTAGAATGATCGAAGAACTCCGCAAAATAGCACCCATTCCTGTGCCCGACGCCACCCATACACCCAATACACACACCCCTGACAAAGGGCTCACCGATGGGGACACCGGCAGCACCAATAATGGTCGCTCGGGAACCTCTACTCGCAAAAAGTATTTGAGTGGCAAAAAACATAAGAGACATAACAATAACAATAATAAGAGTATCATTAAAGACAACGCCAATGAACACCATATGAGTGACAAGACTATACAAAACGAATTAATAGCTGTTAATAGCAAATGCGAGTCCAATGGCACTCATATGACTCCAAACAATAATTGCCAACAATTAACGCAACATTTGAACCATGAGAGTGCTGTGGGAGTGGATAATCATGGTGGTGGTCATGATGGTGGTGGTGACAGTGGTATAGCTGTATGTGTTAGTGGTGATGGTCATGACGCTCCCATTCATCCAATCAATCGACTAATTCAGTTACAACAGGCGCGCAAAGAAAAAGACCCGCAATTTGTGCTCATATCGGAGCGCTGTCTGGACCACCGGCGCCGTGAGTTCACCATTGAATGCAAGCTTGAAGTATGTAAGGGTGGGGTAGGAGGGCAACTGGTGTCGGCTGTAGGTGTGGGTCCCAACAAGAAGTTAGCCAAGAAGAATGCCGCCGAAGCTATGCTCCAAGTGTTGGGCTACTCGTCCAGACCAGTGATGGACATGACTGGCATGAGTGGGCCAACCAGTCCTCAGTCTATACTGAAACAGGACTCGAGTGAAGCACTGCATCACAAGAAGATACGACAAGTGAAGTTCGTTGAGAACGACATGACCTGTGGGGCGCATGTAGTTCATAGTCAGCCCAAGTTAGGCCGTCAACTCGTACCCGGACTCATACTAATGCCCACCAACGGTGATGTGACCCTCAATCGAGGTTTCAATACAGGGCTGAGCCATAGCTCTGAACCCAATTCGTTGAAACAATCTTCAGGTCTTTCCTTTCATTTCAAACCATTTATCACTTAATTATTATTCAATTCATCACTTAATGTGTGTTTGTTTTGCTTTTTTCACATGAGTTTTCACTTTTATATTTTATATTTGACCTCTAAATCAATATTGAACTGTAATTTCCTTTTATTTTCGTTGCACATGGGAATAGGTTTAAGACAGTTGTTTGGTTTATGTGTCAATTAATGGGAATAATTGTGAAATTGTTGTTTTATACCTGTATTGTAAAGTAAATGCTTTTCATTGTTTTGTCATTAGAGATGAGTACGAAATGCAATGCAAACAATGGCTCTAATGTGGAGACTGTTTGCGCGAAACTGCAATCGATTAGCATTTATGCCAAAGAGTTGTTGGCATCGAAACTATCATCGGATGGCTTGGATGTGGAGAGCGGTGATGCTGTGGATGTGGATCGTGTGGATCAGTTGAAGAGTTTGTCCGAAGCTATAGGTGCCAATCAATTTCAGGTGCATTTCAGTGATTTCCCTAAAAAGCATTCAAACAGTCAATCGACTGAATACCTGTCAGTCATTACAATGACTACTGTTTGGAATGAGAGACCGATTGTGAGCCACGGAAGCGGTCCCACACAGGATGTGGCCCGCAATCAGGCCAGTCATCAGGCGCTCATCCAATTGTCTCAATTAGATTCAACACAATTGACGTGAAATGGCAAATGGCATCACATCCACACCAGTTACACATCAAATCACTTTTTAATCATTTTTGTTCACTAATTATGGATTTTATTAACTTGCTTTATTTTTCTATCACTTGCAATGAAGTTTAAGTTTGAATTGCATTTTCAGTTCATTTGTTGTCAAATCAATTGATGTGTAAAACTGGACACAACTTATTGTCAATTCAATCACCAGTTGTCTCCCAAAATACACGTGATTTTGTCGATGTATGAATTTAATCTAAATTGCGATTAGTTTGATTATTAGGTTTATAATGTATAATAAGATAAAATAATTAATAGTCTAATTGAAATGAATTTGCAATTAAGTTTTGACAGTTTTTGGAATAGCGTTCAAATGATTATTATTTTATTCAGATTAAGTGATATTTATTTTATAATTGTTTACTAATTATAATTTTGAGATAATTTTTTAAGATAATTATTTTCAATTTATTAATAATTTTGGGTAAATTATTATTTATATTAAGATTAGAATATTATAAAATAAATCTTACGATTAATATAAATTCATATAAGATAAAATATTAAAAGTAACAATTGGAAGCTGAATTTAATTTGAAATACTGTACTGTATATGGATATATGGTTTGAATTATTATTTGTTGCTAAAAAGAAAACATGATTTATTTGTTACTATGTTTTCAATACATTTATATTCTATTATATAAAAATTCAAATATTATTTATTTATTTGACATAAAATTTAATTTGAATTTTATTAAATGTTTTAAATTCTAAAATTTGTCATTATTTGTTGATTGTTTAATAGAAATGTGCTTTTATTAAGAAATAAATTAAATTAATTTGTATGAAACAACGCATTGCTTACTTTCAATATACTGTAGAGTAGGGACTGTTGCCTTGCTCAAATGTACAGCAATGTAACATTACTAATGTTACTGTCATAGGCTAAGACTTAATAGTATTAAGTTAATACTGTAGTACTCTGGCAAAGGGAATCAGCCAAGGCTTGGTAGACAATCTTAAATTGTTAAATTATGTATGTCCACATTTAATAGGGATGCTGGTCAATTTTTGAGACAAATTTTGCGTTTGTAATTCAAGAATAACTCTTTACAGTTATGTGATCGTATTTTGTGTTAAATTCAATATAAAACTTTTAAATAGTAAATAATATTGAAAAAAATGTCAACAAAAATGATCCTACCTAAAATTCTTATATATTTGTTTATGCTAGTTTGACAACCCTCTTTTACCACTACTTATTTACCCTTTTATATGAAAGCGCTAAATAAATTGAATTAACGTTATATAAAGAATAAAATATTCAACATTTAATTATACCGTATTTGTTTGTGTTTATTGTGTTTGTAAGTCTTTTGTTAAATAGTAATTTTTGTTAATAACTAAAATTTTAACGAATAATTTATATTTAATTCAAATTTGTCTAACCTATCAAAAACGGTTGTATAACTATATTTGACAGGTGATTTCAATGAAAATAAATAAGGTATTATATTTATACTATAAAGATAAATAAATTTTAATAACTTTTTGAAAATAACTAATTACTGGTTTTGAATGTAATTCATAGCTTGAAATGCAACGAATGGTAGTGTAATGTCACTAAACATTAGCACTTGTCCTACATTTCAATGAAAGTAGTTTTTAGTCGTTAATGAGGAATAAGTTTTCTTCAACTATTCAACTGTTCTTATGTCAAACCAGTGAGAGGAGCGGTATCTGCACACTACCTGTGCTCACAACACAATACAATGCAAACTACTTTGCATTCATTTAATGGGCATTTAAGTTGATTATCAATACTAACATAATGTCTAAAACATTGAATTATCATTATTTGAACGAAACGTTAATTAAAGGCTAAAACTATTAAAAGATTAATCCTTTAATTTAAACACAAGAAAGAGCTTATCAATTGAATAGGAATTTTAAATAATATCTCCAAGTTTAATTAATATAACAAGTTTCATAAATATTTTACATCAAATTTTTTATTTTATTTTTCTTTTTATCCTTGAATTAGTTGCGAGAAATTGTTTTGACGTTTTGTAGTTTAATGTTAATGAGACTCAAATATTAAAGCAAAACAATTTTCAATTGAAATAATATTAAATGTTAAAGTATTTCCACTAATTATAATAAATTAGAAATCATATTATCAAATAATGGCAAATTTAAGTTATGGATACAGTGGTCTAATAGTATACCCTGTACATCAATGTTTGTGCAATAACTGCAAGAATTAAGTTATATTTAAATAAATGTGTTGTAGGGATGAAGTGGTGTCCCCAACCAAGTGATACTCCAATATCAGTGAATGTCAGACAAGTCGGTCGTATAGAGTGTTGGCAATGTTGGCAATACAAGTGTTTTTATAGTGTTAAGTATATTTAATATAATGTATGATTGTATGAGTGAATAGTAAAGTTAATTCATTACTTCATACTTATTGAGAAGTGAGTGGTAGTGATGGTAGTGATGATGGGCTGGCAGTCACTCTCGCTATCTCTTCACTGCCGAGTGGACCGCCTATCAGGAAATTGTTTGTGCAATAACTGCAAGAATTAAGTTATATTTAAATAAATGTGTTGTAGGGATGAAGTGGTGTCCCCAACCAAGTGATACTCCAATATCAGTGAATGTCAGACAAGT